GTATTTGGTTTCAATTCACGTGCAAATTCAAGACATTAGAATACAACACCAACAAAAACCACGTGTTATAATCATCACTGTATGACACGTGGTTTTATGGTGTAATGTTTAGAAGCTCATTTGTATATTCAAGGCTAGCAATTATCTCTGCCTCGTACCACCACTGAAATTTTACAAACAATCTACCTAAAGCAAATCCTTCTTGTCCTGACAGCATACGAAAACTGATTTCTGTTCTCTTGGAGCGTAAATGGTACGTTCATTTACACTTCGCCCTGTGTGTGACCATTCTCACTGACACAGATTTTAATTAATACAAATAAAACACTTACAGAACTTGAAGAGTGTCCGATGTATTGTAAATATCTCGAAGATTGGCACCCATGCTATAAATATGTTAGATTCTTGCCTATATATGCATGGATGTTTGTATTTCCTTATGGATCTAATTAAAAATGTGTTATTTGTGGTGTCTGATATCGTGTTAACAATAAATATTAACAACGCATTGGAAAGGGGGAATTATATACGAAAATACTTATATCTTAAAAAAGATTGGCCAGTGAATATAACACGTTAAATCAGGAATATAGTATTTCAAAGAGTTATTGTCAATGTGGTCTTTAAATTCGAAAAAAAAAGGAACACATTTCATACGTATATGAAATATCCAACGGCCATACCATGTTGAAAACGTGGGTTCTCGTCCGATTAACGCGGTTAAGCAACATTGGTTGCGGTTAGTAGTTGGATGGGTGACCGCTTGGGAACACCGCGTGCTGTTAGAATTTTTAATTCAAGGGTTTACATGGCGTACAGTGGGACAGTTTTAACTTTACTTTATACTATGGTTTAAATTATGTTGAATAACTAAATGAGACTTTTAGTGACGCAGTTGGACCGAATATTTTCAGCATTTTATAGTAACAAAAGAGTTAAGTATTCTACAAGAGTAAGGTTAGGTTTGCAACCTGAAGGACTAACGTATTTCCCCGTGTAAAATAATATTTCTGGACAGAAGAGCCCGCATGTACCAATTAGATAAGGAATTAACGTGCCACAAAACTGGAAAAACCCTTGATAATACCAAGACTATTTATTTAGTGTTATGTCTGACGACAGGTCCATATCAACAGGATCCTTCCATCCTTTTCTCGGACTGGGACCTGTTCATATACGTTCTTGGCAGATGATCCAGAAGTGGTTTGCCATTGCCTTCTTCTGTGTGTGAATGGAGTAATTGTTGGGATGCCACGGAGGAAAACTCCGTGTTGCCTAGACCACGGCCTTGCCCAACACAAGTTATAAATTCGGGCACCGCCGGGAATCGAACCCGAGACCCCAGGATTACAAGGCCAGCGTCCTAACCATATTGTGAATATGATCGCAAATATGACCTAAAAAGTAAAGCTGTCCCTCATTACGTCATGTACGCGCTTAATTCTTAACCTCGACACTAGATGGGGTGAGTGGTCAGTGTCCCAGTACCCATTGGATAGGAGACTTGAGCCGGTCTAGACGCAGAGGCTCCTCTGTCCTTGCCGGGGATAAGACCACGGTCGTCCAGTCCATAGTCAGTCACTATATTTATCGAGTTCCCCGTCTCATGAAAATATGATTTAGCTGCATGATATAAATAGCAAGGCAGCTGTATCGAAAACCATAAATTATTCAAGGAACATAACCCAACTTTTAATAAGTTTTAGTGATGGCTTGTCCGAGGGCTTCTTGTGTGTTGTCAGCACTGGCTTTCGGGCAGGTGTACAACTAAATACTCAAATTCTTCGTTATTTCTGTGTGTCAGCATATAAAACCTCGAAAACTGCAGAAAAGATTTTAATGAAATTTGCTATTTGAGAATTGTACTTAATTTTTGCAAAGATTTATGCCAAGTAGCTGACACATTACACAAAGATCTGCTTACATTTCTGTGCTGACTCGATGAAGAATGGTGATTATTTTGATTTGTCGTGGTTAATTCTAATTCCATGGTTACCATTTCCCATTGTAAATAAATTTTAACGTATGAAATGGGTCATATATTGATGCACAGCGTTATATTCCAGCCGTAATCTGGGACCCATACGCTGAAGTACATTCCGTAACAGTTATATATTCGCATAATTTTAAGTGTTTAGTTATCGAAGGTTTGCCCCACTGTCATTCAAGATGGCTGCCATTAGAAATAAATAGGGGATATCTCGTTTACGAGTCTGTTTATTCTGTGGTCTCCCCTTGCGATGGGTATGTAAGTCTGTGGATTACTCTGTAACTTTCTTTACCTTGAAAAAGACAAGTAAGTTTGAAATGTTCTGTTTGTCGCAGTACAAAAATGGAAGTCCAAGGTTACGAAACGTATAGTTTGAAATGATTAAAGTTGCTTTATAAAAACAAAAACTGGGAATGTTCTTACGCAAACGTTGTTCTTTTTTTTTCCACTGGCGGAAGGCCTTGGCATGTACAAATTTGGGGTTGTTGCTGCTGATGGGAGATTATCCCATCAGCCAACTTGTCCCTTATGAAAACGAACTTTGGTTGGATGCATGTCTGAGATATGAACCTAGAAGTGTTGGGATAACTTTGGCTGATGGCTTCTACGACTTAGAGGGGGGGTCACTTTGTCTTAAGGCCTCCACAATTAGAGAAGGCGGGCCGTGCCCTTTTTGAACTGCAGACACTCTGTCCTTCAGGGATTTTTTTTTGTGAGGTCGCCAGCATGCCACACGGGGAAACCACAGCGGCCTTCCATGCAGTGAATAATATTCCAATATTGAAAGTATAAATTGTTATAAGTTTCCTTGTATCTTATACTAGGTGTGTTGGAGGAAACTCAGTTAGGTAGAGGTCGCGCGAGTAATGGTGGCACCTCAATGCGCGATGTGTAAGCCGAGAGAGGGGAGTTCAGTAGTAGTGGGGGGTCGCACGGCCTCGGCTGCGGTGACGCACCGAACTAAACACAGCGAGAGCTACAAAACAACTGAAGGTTACACCCCTCTAGCGCGTGCTTCGGACGAGTCCATCTCATACGACCGAAATCAGTCCTTTGCGCATGCGCCAACACTTCTCGCTCGGCCACTACAAGTAATTTGTTTATAACGTACTGGATGTACCGAAAAGGGGGACGTCTGGGGGTTACAGAGACGTTTCGGGTTAATTTTGTTTTATTTTATTAATATCATACTATTCCATCATTTGATTACCTCGTGATGTTGCGCATGCCATTTGTTTACAATTGTACATTGTTTCTTGGTTACTCCATTTGAGAGACATTGTTTAGATATCGAAAATATTAAAATGGCGCTTAACTAGGGTAAAACTGTGGACTGAATTCGTCTTGACTCAGGATATGATTTTATTCAGCCAAATAAATAACCTCAGGGTCCAATAAAAGGCGAGATATTTGTTGACAGTTGAGCGACTATTAGCTTCTCAAAGACTGTCTTCAATGCAGTTAATTACGTTTAAAGCGAGCTACTTTTAGAACAGTCGCTAGCCTCGTCACCTATTACACCGGGCCGTGCGTTGCTTCAACAGGCCCGACCTCTATCAGTGTGAAGACAAAACAACAGAGAAGCTAGACAAACAGCTGAAGGGCGTAGAAAATGTAGACACACGAACGCCGCGAGGAGTCGAACAGCGAGTTAACAAGTGATATGACGAGATATCGAAATGGCGAGACTTATCGAAGCAGCTCAACGATATATTTAGAACGACAAGAAGAAATAGAAATTCGTATGTAATTTTATTTCGTGGGTATGAACTGCTTCAGGATAGAGACAAGTGGTGGACCCATATCATCGCAGAAGCCCCAATGAAAATTCGGGTTCCGTACAAGTCTTGGCCATGTAAGTAACACTTAACCTCAAACAGAAGAATCTCTACGGCAAGGCCACCGACGTGAACAATTATTATCGATGCATTTCGATCCGAATCGTGACAAAACTATTAGCTTATTTGAGTATGGTTGTACCTGTATTCGTATGAACATAGTATTAGGTCTGTTCGCAGTTATTACAAGTTAAAAATTGTCATGGAATATAATACAATATTTATTCTAAAGGGGATTACGTGAAGAAATTTACCAACGTTGGTAATTACCACAGTGAAAATCTCAAATCCTACTTTTAGTCTTCCTAACCTGTTCCATAATTGTATCCCATCCTCTACAGAGGCCGATTTATCAGATTACGTATTACTTTGTAGGCAGTGCCACCTATTGATAAAATATGTAAGCTGCTCATGAGTTACGAATATGTAAATTCCTAGGAATGTCTTTCTTGAACACACGGTTGTGTGAGAGACAGTTTGTAAATCACACCATATAAATTCCGCACAATACAACCGGCCTCTTTCATGGGTGAGGGCAATTTGTCGTTCACAGCCACTAAAAAAAGCGATAATCTCACAGGCATGCCGGAGGGGATCAACACGTGACATCACAGGAGATAGTGAGAGAGGGGGGGGGTCATAATGCCAGAGCACGAGGGGCCACATATGACACTCGTAACGCTGATAATGAGGTCCATGTGGCAGTGATTTATAGGCTTCAGCCTTGAATGAAATTAATTGGACAGAATTTGTACACACCTGGGCTCAAGCGACATGGTAACAGACGCCTTATTATTTATTATTATTATTATTATTAACTTCTATAATCCGTTTCGGTAAACAATAACACGTTACTATAATGTTTAGGCTAATGATCTATTGTCTCTCTGTGTGTCTGCGCGCTTCTAAATGGATAGATATGCATATCGAACGTTGTTATACAGTTTTTACAGTCAAAGAATCCCAGTAGACTTCGCCTGAATGATGTTAATCAGAAAGTTTATTTGTCAGAGTGTACACTTCTTCCTACAAGTTTTACGGAATCCATTGTTTTCTTTTTATTAGCAGAACTGCAACAGGTTTTTTCTGGTCATCTCCTTTCCCCCTTCCCCGCACCCCACGTGACCTACCAGCTCCACCATGCTTACGCGTTGTCGCTTGCAGTAGGACTCCGAAGCTCGAGGAGAGAGGTTGTGTTGTTGTAGATGATACGCGGTTTGTATGTGTCCTTCCGCGTGATTAGTGTACTGCAGAGTGCACCGTATTTGCCGCGCGACAATTCTACAAGCATTGCAATAACAAAACATCCAGCTGGTTTTAAGAATAGTTTTGCTTTCAGGAAGTAAATAAACACAAGTACAGGAAAACTTTTTTATGTTTTCTATAGGGACGGAAGAGTTCCTTATGTAAATTGGGTTGTAAGAACCGAGAAATGTACTAAGCGTACAGGAATATTATTTACGGATGTGTGTTACGTAAATCGAACAGAGCTGAAAATTTAAATAATTTGTCAGACTCCAGTGTTGTGACTCATTATGATATAAAGACGTTCATTGTTGATAAACCACATGATTTATCGCAATACATTTTAGAGTGTAAGAATTTCACAATCGCAGCGATAATTTGAAGATTCTTGTGATAATGCTTTGAAATGAACCTACTTTGAGAACACCAGCTGTAATTGTAGTATCTGTTCACCCTTCTAAAGTCTTCGCGAGTCAATGAATTAGGTTTTTCACTATGTAATTGCGTTGTCATTTCACTTACCGGTAATAAATCGTACGCAACAATCAACTGTATAAATGCAGACCAAGACAATTTATAATGTATGAGCTTAAAGGTGAGTACAAACAGATTTTATTTACTATCAACTACACAAAACAGTTCAGTCTAGTTTCTACAGGTTGTTCGGAAATCAGTGTGTTTGTAGTTTTCGCATGTGACTAAAATGTTCAATATTAGATCCTTCGACCTTCTGGACTCACGGTAAACAAACTACAAATTTACCAACGTTATCACGCTAAAGTGTCGCCTGTGATTCTTTAAACAACAATTTGTTTCCTCTTGTAACTCCTGAACAGTGTGTAGGTTAATGGGGAACACAGTCTTTGAGTTAGCCCTGAAGGGAATAATCGCAGCGGTTCGTATCCGGTGGTCAGGACCACATACGCATTCGAAGCACTCTGGAAATCAATTAGACAAGACACATTTGAGACGATATTTTCTCCATGTGGGTGTGCACCATTCTGCTGGAAGAATATTTTGTCCACATGCACTCATGCTTTGTTGCTCGTCAGTTTACTTGGCGTTTTTACTCGATGGTCATTTTGGCTTGGCACGTTACGGCTCGGTCTTCGCAACGGAACGGCACGTCAGATACTCGTCCATGTTGGTGTTTGACTTTGTAGACTTGTAGGCAGAGAAAAACGTCTCATAGGAACACACTTTCGCTATGTTATAGACTGAATAGAAGGATAATATTAATTAATTTCTAAAGAGAGCGTTTCTGTTGGCGTGGATCGGATTCAAAGAGCTGATGAAAGGGTCTTAAGGCTTTGACCGGGATGTTCTTTTATTAAATCTCATGTGGTACCGCCTGATTCGACTTCTAATGGTTAAGTGAAGTGTTTTCTTCGCGGTACGGTCTGAATTCGTAAATATTATGAAGACGATCTTCGGCTTCAAAGGGTTAACCAGCTGATTTTCGTAATGGTGAGGTGTAGTGTTTTCTTCGCGGTACGGACTGAATTCATAAATAATATTCAGACGATCTTCGGCTTCAAAGGGTTAATAACGCATTAGTGACGTTCGGGTTTCGTGAAAGGCAGGGGATTTCTTGATCATCTGAGTGATTATCAGCTTCCCTCGATGGATACACTACTTGTTGACAGTTTCTTTCGTCATTGCAGGCGGAGGGTCCTTAATCATCGAGGCAGAAGAAACGATTTAATGGGTGAGTCTAACTTACAAAGTATTTTAACAGATACGTCTGACGTGTGCGTTTATCTTTTATGATGTGTAGTAAGAACTTGTTGTATTTGGATGAGAATTTGTGAAATTATTTATTTTCTGATAAGATACGAACTAAAATAAAAGCTGAGCTTGTAATTCTCTGACATCGAAGTTCTCTGCTCAAAGGGTAGACAACGCTTCACACAAGAAAAACCTGTGTTTTCGAAACGTCGATAAATGAGTATATTACACAGGAATATTAAACAACCTTAACCTTATATATCTCCATTCTTCGTAAGTACCACAGTAGAATCGGTAGTTGGCTTTCTAATAATCCGTGAGTTTCTGCTGATAGATGGAAATCTTAAGGTACGGCGATGCTGGTAGTACGGGGCCTTGCTATACCAGGGTTCCATTTTACACGCTTTATTTATGCGCGTTAAAGCGTTTTGTTTTAATTTATTTGTTTTCTAGACTTAGACCCAGTAATTATCGAAAGGCTAGCCTGTTGAACTGAAAAACAGTTGTTTGTGCTTAAAATGACGTAATAGAGATTAAAAGTGCTTGATGGAGACATCAAAACTGTGAAATTTTGTTTTTAGATTCAGTAGATGGGTAGACACGTGATAAGACGAAAACTTAATGTAACATCACAATCTCTGCATCTGTTGTTGTGCCGGTATAAATCTGTTTAATGCAAGTGATACTTTGTGCAAACTAGACCGTTTCGGGGCACAAGGGGGCATCTTCAGGTTATCGTTTATCTAACATGCATGCGAGCCTATAGTGGGATCCAGTCTCATGTATTTTAGCATCGTATTGTCCTTGAACGGTTACGAGTCGGATATAAATAACTCTCATGTCCAATCTGTCACATGGATTATAGCTGACAAAAACAACATTTGAGATTCAACATCGAAGCTCGGAGACATGAATTTGGAATTTTAATTCGTGATATTTTTGTTTGCTGATAGTTTCAGAACGTATTTTAAAAAATCCCGCGGCTAGAATTCAGAGTTCAACGCATTTCTTGTTGAAAATGTGTGCTTCTATACTCGTGAGCGGTACTAGTCGGGTTGTCAGACTCCAGGTGTTCCGGGACGTTTTATACCGGGGTCCTATTAAGTGCAGATGTTATTACCAACGTAATGGAGTGGAAATTTGTGAAAACTGTTGTCAGTTTATGACTCTCCTTTCATTTCCTTGTTACAGTATATTCGTAGTTCAGCTTTTAAAAGGAAATTAGTCTTTCTTGTTCCTTTGCGAAATTTCTTTCCACGAATCCACCGCCCAAGCGTGAAGGCAGGACAGGGCGGTAAGGGGAAGCATTTGGCACCCTTGGGGGACGAATAGAGCAGTGGTATTGAACCTTTTTTGTTCGCGTACACCCAGATATAATTTCTCTTCAACTTTGTACCCCCAAAGTTGTTGGTGTATAATTCAAGTTATACATAGTATATAATCTACATCTAAAATAAATTAAATAAATTACATTACTGATTATTCAATGTTTATCATAAAATAATATATTTTTTAAATTTCACGTACCCCCTAAGATGTCTTCGCGTACCCCCAGATATAATTGCTCTTCAACTTTGTACCCCAAAAGTTGTTGGTGTATAATTCAAGTTATAAATAGTTTATAATCTACATCTAAAATAAATTAAATAAATTACATTACTGATTATTCAGTGTTTATCATAAAATAATATATATTTTAAATTTCACATACCCCCTAAGATGTCTTTGTGTACCCCAGGTTGAATACCACTGGAATATGTGGTTCATAAACTTGTACTCATCATATGTTGGGGTCAACAAATGAAAGGGAGTAAGATTGGTGAAGTAAGTAGCACGCAAGGGGGGTGTTTGAAATGAAAACATAATTTTAGTGGGGAAACCATGGAAGACGTAGGGGAGGAGGGGAAGAAGTGTTAAAATGTTTCGGAAACAGGGTGTGATATGTGTACTGGTTTCATGTAGCTCACGATAGGGACCAGTGGCGGACTGTTTGTAACATGGCGGATAACGTAAACCTGAATCGAAAAACCACCAACGTCCGTTTTGTACAGATAAAACGTTTAAAATGAAATATGGGCTAAGGACCGTGAAATACCTGGCTTTTTCGTCCATAATTTGGTGAAAATTAAAATATTTTATATCAACATATTCACCTGGGGTGAAATTCAGAGTGTGGACAGATGGAATTTGAACACGAGTTCATGCAGTTTTGCAAAGCGGGTGTCTAAGAGAATTGTAGGTTTATCGTGAAGAGAATATTAGCAGATTCATCGAGTTGTCATGTATTTACGTCATGGAAACATAATATATCAAAGATATGCATTACTTGAAATAGTTTTAATCGTCTTTTCTTTGTATTTAAAATGTCACACCTCTTCGTAATCCAAATATGCTAACAAACCAATGTAAACGGCGAACGACCGTCCGCTCGAGTCCAATACTCCGGACGCCTTGAGGAATTAACGGATTTATATGTTCGCGGTTTGTACACGTGACGTAACCGTTCAGAGTCGGTTCGACCGTGACCTTGCCGGGGATCTTCGGTGCGATTCTCGGACTCCTTACTTTCTCCTCTGTTCGTCGAGGTTTGAATTTTTAACCCTTTGAAGCCGAAGATCGTCTGAATATTATTTATGAATTCAGTCCGTACCGCGAAGAAAACACTACACCTCACCATTACGAAAATCAGCTGGTTAACCCTTTGAAGCCGAAGCTCGTCTGAATATTATTTACGAATCCAGACCGTACCGCGAAGAAAACACTTCACTGAACCATCAGAAGTCGAATCAGGCGATACCACATAAGATTTATGAATATTATTTACGAATCCAGACCGTACCGCGAAGAAAACACTTCACTTAACCATTAGAAGTCGAATCAGGCGGTACCACATAAGATTTAACAAAAGAACATCCCGACCAAAGCCTTAACAGCGGCGAGAGCCCTCGGGTGGGTATGGACGTTTCGGAAGGACGTAGAGCTTTGTACGGTGTAGAAAGAAGGGTGACCTTGGTGGGGGTAGTTGTTTTGATACGCTCCCACCAATTCGCGAACCTAAAACGTCAGTCTTGAGCGGTGGAGCTGGACGGATGTGTCAGCAAGTCAGCTGTTCTGACGTCGTTGACTGAAAATGTAGAAGCAGGGATGACAGAACCAGAATATAAGGATAGGTAATCAGTCGTTCGAAAATGTGACGAAATTCAAGTACTTGGTGACGACTTTAACAAGTCAGAATGACATTTATGACGAAATCAAGAGCAGATTAAATCCAGGGAATGTTTGCTATCAATCAGTGCAAAATCTTTTGTCCTCCCGTCTAAAGATTAAAATGAACCAGAGTGTAATTTTGCCAGTTGTGATGTTTGAGTGCGAAACTTGGTCTCTTACTTTGAGGGAGGAACATAGATTGAGGGTCTTTGAGAACAGAGTGTTGAGGAAGATGGACCCAAATAGGGAGTGGGACAGACCATGGAGAAAATTACATAATAATGAGCTTCACGGCCTGTACTCCTCACCTGATATTGTTATGGTGATTAAATCAAGGAGGATGAGATGGGCGGGACATGTGGCACGCATGGGGGAAGGGAGGGGTATTGGTTTGGGGGCCTGAAGGGAGGAGACCACTAGGTAGACCTAGGCGTAGATGGGAGGACAACGTTAAGATGGACCTTAGGAAGATAGGGATCGATAGCTCAGGACAGAGTCAGATAGTGGAAGTTTCCATCGATAAAGTGGGATATTCTTTGACAAGGCGAGGGCACAGTAGACTTCTTAAGGTGGCGACTGACTTGTAACATTTGCCTGTAATGTAACGTGTTACAAATCGAGCATTACACAAGTGAAGACAGCGAACGGAGCCGCTCGATGCGAGCCG